GAGCAAGACAGATGAGCCCCCCGCACACCCTTCCTTATGAGGTCCTCAGTGGACTGAGGAGTGGCCCATAGAACTCTCTTCCCCTTCCTCTGATATTTTCTGCCAAATATCTGGAGAAACAGATTTTTTTTTTCTTTTTGCAATACTGGAAATTGAACCTAGGGCTTTCTCACTGAGCAACATCCACAGTTCCTTTATTTTTATTTTTATTGAGACAAGATCTCCCTGAGTGGCTAAGTGCCCACTAAGTGGCCAAGTGGCCCAACCTTGAACTTGTGATCCTCCTGCCACAGCTTTCCAGAGTGCTGCTGGGATCACAGGCAAGCGTCACCAACCATGGCTAAGAAAAACAGAATTCTTAAGAGATCCATCGGGGAGAATCTCACTGATCCCTGTCCATCTAGAGCACAGGGAGACTCTAACTGTTTTCCTACTCCCTACGGGCACCTAAAAGAGAGAGTGACTCAGGAAACAGGGGCCTAGGTGGGTGGGGTGACTCATTCTGAACGTCTGGAAGGGGGAATGTGGTTTGGTGAGAGAAGAGATTGTGCTCAATTTCCAGAGCCTATACCCTCCAGGATCCTGCAGTCCACATGTGGGCCGAGAGGTCCCCAAGGTAAGGATGGTGACCAATGCCCCTTCAGACCTCTGAGCTGCCAGCTGAAGGGAGACGGAAGTAGGGTCTCGCTGGCTCATGGACTTCTCTGCCTGTGGGGTCCACTGTGCCCCAATTCCTTCCCCCAGGGTCTCTCCAAGGGTCACTGGCAAAGTCGAGAATCTCAGGGAAGACCCCCTCCAGGGTTCACCATCCCAGCACAGGAGAAATCAGAACACCTCAAAATCTCCCTCTAGAGGGCAGACTTGGTGGGACCAGCTCTGAGCACCAGCCTGGCTTCCTGCCACTGTTCTGGTCTTGCCTGGAAGCTCCAGACCTTTTCCAGGGAGTCAATGGGTGTAATTTTACTCTTACTGAAAAAGTAACCGTCACTCAAACGGTGATGGCCATAGATGACTTCAAGTGACGGGGGCATGGCCAGCCTCACAGCAGCCTGGAGGATCATAGGTAAGTGGGACACAGTCAAAGGGACACTTGCTGGGCAGGAGATTTAGCTCAGTGGCACCACACCTGCCTCGCAAGCGCAAGGTCCTGAGTTCGATCCCCAGTACAAAAAAAAAAAAAAATCACAAAGACACTGGCTGAAGGCCCTGGGTACAAGACACAAGCTGAAGGCCCCACATGCAAATAGAGGAGGAAGACAGGAGAGAGCTAGAGGATGAAGAAGGCACCCCAGCCTAAGAGAGACAGAGGCAGGAGCCTACCATGGTTGCCCCCATCAGCAGGCCAGACTCAGCAGAGCAATGTATTTGTGTGTGTGTGTGTGTGTGTGTGTGTGTCTGTCTGTCTGTCTGTCTGTCTGTACGGGAATTCAGGACCAAGTTTCCTCTAGGGATGGGCCACAGGCTTGAGCATCAGTTACACCCGAGAGAGAGGCTGATGTGACCCTGAAGCTTGGCCTTGTCAGGGGCTCAGGCCCTCTTGGCCACCCCAGGGCCCGGCCCAGCTCCCCACCAGCCTCACTTCATCCTCCTGGAGAGCTTTCTCTGAGGTTCCAACTCAGCCAGCCCCACCCAGCATGAAATCTGACACTAGGGAGAGCGCCCTCAGCCTCCTGCTGTTCCCCCAAATCACTCCCATCAGCAAGGCTTTACTTCCTACCCAGTCTTTGAGGCCTTGCCCCAGCTTCCCTTCTCCAGGAAGATCCCACAAACCTTCCCAGCCCCCTAGGATCACTCTGCTCCTGCAACCCCCCCCCCTGCGAGGGTGGCAGAGAGGACAAAGGGCACTCTACCCTCCAGTGTGGCACGTCATACTCCCTGGTTTGTGCTGTTGGTTGCGTCTGTGTGCACTTGAGCCCCTCATGGACTGTGAGCTCCTTGAGGGTAGGGGCCTGTCTGGCACCTCTGTGCACCTCCCCAACATCAAGGCAGGGGCTGGGACCTATCAGGCTTCCATAAACTGCAAAGCATCTCATCAAATAGGTAAGTAACACAAGGACAGGCCAGGGAGACATTAGGTTTTCCTAAGAATCAAGCCTAGACACACACGCAAAAAAGTCACTGGGTGTGGTGGAACACACCTGTAACACCAACACTCAGAAAGCTGAGGCAGGACCATCAGCTTGAGTTCAAGGCCAACCTGGGCTACACAGTGACTTCCAAACCAGCCTGAACTCCAGAGTGAGACCCTGTCTCAAAACAAAACAAAACACTAAGCGCCAAGCCCACACCTCCTCAAAAAAGGGGAAAAAAGAGAAGAATGGACAGTTAGAGGCACAGAACTCAGGGATAGACAGCTAAATGCTAATAAATGCCATACACGTTCTCAGATTTAGTCTTCACCATCAGCTGTATGGAGAGACACGTTACCCGTCCCATTTTACAGGTGAGGAAACTGATGTTGAGATGATGGTGAATCTTCCCAAAGGTGGTGGCTAATAAACCCAGGTTTGAAAGTGAGCTCTGCCTGCCTCCAATGCCCATGCACCTTCCACTGTGCCTCCTGCCCACCCAGTCAGAAAGATGACAGCTCACATCACAGTTTGCCCACAGCCCAGCACGGGTGGAGGAGGAAGGGCTGGGGGATTTGGCTTTTCCTGTCTTCAGTAGAAGGGGCTCCTATTCCTGTCTGTGATCCAGCCACCCAAAGAAGGAGTGAGGACAGGGAGAGTCCCTGACCAAGTACCAAGGGCAGGAACTATATTGACCTGCTCCCAGCACCTGGTGTCCAGTTCTAGGTACCATGACTCTGCTCCTGACTCTGGCTATTTGAGGAGAGGATCAAATCAGAAGCAGGAAGTCAAGGAAAAGTCCTGATATCTTGTCTCCTGTGTATCCTAGGTGGCCTGCTCAGGCCTGAGTGCCTGGCCATCTGGTCACTCCAGGGGCAGGACCTTTCTGGTCCCAGCAGGAAAGAAAGAGTTACATAAAGAACACACACACACACACACACACACACACACACACACACACACGGGCCTTGACCCTACTGGCCTCTGGTGTCTGTTGGATGAAAGGGCTGATGTGGCCACTCCAAGTTTTCTTTGTGTCCCTTTTTCCACCCCAACTTGGCCTTGGCAGGGTCCTCCTAGCACACAGGAGCATAGGTAAGACCCCTCCTGGGCTGGCTTCTCTGACTTTGACAGCTGTCTGCTGAGTCCCAGAAAGCTGCTGATGGGCTGACTAGGATGAAGGGATACCACGTAGCATGGGCTCAAGGGACTCCAAGGAACGCTTTCTCCTCCCACTTGGTTTGGGGTGGTGGACGGGAGACCTCTTCCTAGGAGCTGCAGGCTTGGGGAAACCAACTAAACGCCAGATGTGCAGCCCAGGACAGACAGGCTGGCAAATGCCAGGGCTCAGCGGAGACGGAGAGACCCGGGAGAAGGGAAAAGAAAACACACAGACACAGGAACGCACGGAGTTTGGCCAGAAAAGTTTCCTGCAGAAGGAAAAGCTGCAGGATTCTCTCGGACCTGGGGACTTTTGTCCAGGAATCCTTTAGGAAAGGGTAGAGGCAGCAACCGCAGCTTCCACCCAGAGCAGCAAAACTTCAGTCCTAAAAGTCCCCCAAACTTCCCCCTCCCTCTCTCCCTCGGTCTTTTGTTCCCCACTGCATTGCCAACCAGGCAGCTCCCGGCTTCCCACACTGGACTGTCCTCCCCCAACCCCAAACCCG